ATGTATAGCTGAAAATATCAACCACAATCTAAGCAAGGTGCACCCTCTTTTACACTCTTTTCTTAGGGAGGTTGCTTCAAGTTGTGCTCTGGCAAATTCATAAGGTAAACCAAGAAGTAATAAGCAAACAGTGGATCCAACCTGAGACACTGGTGGGGAAATCTAGAGTGGAAGGTGTTAGGTCCAGGGGGTGCTCTTCTTGCTCCAATTTTGCACCAAAGCTCAGAGTCCAGATGTAAAGACTCAAAGCCCCATGTTCGGGTGCCAAATAATGAAGTTTTAGAATATAAGTGAGGTTCAGTGGGGGTGGGGTCTGGAGCCAACGACCAAGAAGGAATTCTTGAGATGTCTTTGGTGCAAAATGGTGGTGGTTTATTAAAGCATGGGGACAGGACCCGTGGGCAGAAAGAGCTGCTGCACTGGGGTTGTGATAGGTGGCTGATTATCCTTCTTCTTCTTTAAAAAAAAATCTAATTTTGAATGAGCTTTGATAGTGTGTCTTTCAAGGGATTTGTCTATTCTAATTAGGTTGTCAAATTTATAGGCATAAAGTTACTTATAATATTCCCTTATCTTTTTCCTCTCAGTAGAATCTATAGTTATATCACCTCTCTCATTCCTGATGATGGTAGTTTGTGTCTTTCCTCTTTTCTCCTTCCCTTGATAATCTGTCTAGAGGTTCAATTTTATTATTATTTCAATTTTATTAATATTCTTAAAGAAACAGGTATTGGTTTATTAAATTTCCCTAATATGTTTGTTTTCTAATATGTTAAGTTTCAGCAGACTGATGTCTGCTCTGATCTTGTTTCCTTTTTTTCATGCTTGTTTTGTGTTTGCCCCCATTCCTAATTTCTTAAGACAGGAGCTGAAGTCACTGATGTGAGAGCTATTTATCCATCCATCTTTTCCCTTTCTTTTTCCTTCCCTTTTACTTTCTCTTCCCTTCTTTCCCTCCTTCCCCTAATATAGTATTTAGTGCTATAAAATTCCCCTAAGTACTGCTTTAGTGACATCCCAAAATTTTGATATATTATTTTCATCTCCATTTAGCTCAAAATATTCTTTGGTTTCCATTTGGCTTTTTTTTATGACCCACAGGTTTTTAGACATGTGTTACTTCATTTTCATATTTGGGGATCTTCCAGAGGTCTTTTTGTTAGTGATTTGTCATTTAATTCTACTGTGGTTGTAGGATGCACTTTGTAGGATTTCAATCCTTTTACCTTTATTGAGATTTCTTTTATGGTCCAGAATACGGTCTATCTCGGTAAATATTCTGTGTCCTTGAAAGGAACATGTGTTCTGCTGATGTTTGGTTGAGTGTTCTTTAAATGTCAACTAGGTCAAATTGGTTGATAGTGTCATTCAAGACTTCTACATTCTTAATTATTTTCTGTGTACTTATTCTATCAGTTAGAATTGAAATATCTGACTGTAATTGTAGGTTTATCTATTTTTCTTGCAGTTCCATGTTATTAAGTAAAAAAAAGGTTCAGGATTATTATTTCTTAAAGAATTGGCCTCTTTATCCCTTTTTCATCTGAAATCTATTTTCTCTGATATTACTATAGCCATTTCAGCTTTCTTTTAACTAGGGTCAGCATGGAGTAGTTTTCCATTCTTTTACTTTGAACCTATTTGTGTCTTTATATTTTAATGTGATTCTTGTAGGCATCATATAGTTGTAGTTGGATGTTGCTTATTTTATCCAATCTGATGGTGTCTGCCCTTTAGTAGGAGTTATTAGACTACAACTGACACTTCTGGGCACCAACCCCCCAAGCAATTGAAAATCCACATGTAATGTTTGACTTCTCCCCAACTTAACTAATAGCCTACTGCTGACCAGAAACCTTACTGATAACAAAAAGTTTATTAACACATATGTATTGTATGTATTATAACACATATGTTGTATGTATCATATACCATGTTCTTACAATAAAGCAAGCTAGAGAAAAGAAGATGTTATGAAGAAAATTGTAAGGAAGAGAAAATACATTTACAGAATTGTACTGTAGTCATAAAAAAAAAAATCTGTGTATAAGTGGACCTGTACAGTTCGAATCTGTGCTGTTCAAAGGTCAACTGTACTTTTATTTTGTGATTACTGATATGGTTAGATTTAAGTCTGTCATTTTGTTATTTGCTTTCTATTTGCCCCATCTATTCTTCAGTCCTCTTTCCTTCTTTCCTTTATTCTTCTAAATTGAGTATATTCTGATTCTATTTTATCTCCTTTGTAGGCTTATTAGCTATACCTTTTTTTTAAGTGGTTGTATTAGGGTTTATTTTATATCTATCTACCTGTCTATCTATCTATGGCACAGTCTACCTTAAGATGATACTATACTACTTCACGTATAAGAATCTTACAAGAGTCTTCCATTTTTCCCCTCCCCATGTTTATGACATTGTCATGTGTTTTATGTCTTATATACTTGTCATATATTTTACTTCTACATATGTTATAAACCTCACAATATATTCCTATTATTTTTGTTTGAACAGTCAGTTATCTTTCAAAGAAGTTTAAGTAATAAGAGAAAAACTTACATAATTGCCCATGTGGTTACCAGTGCCTTGTATTCCTATTGTGTAGATCCATATTTCCATTTGGTATCATTTCTCTCTGTCTGAAGGATTTTAGCATTTCAGTAGTGAAAGTCTGATGGTAAAATCTTTCAGCTTTTGTATAGTTGAAAAAAAATTTTTTTTGCCTTTGTTTCTACAAGATATATTTTTTGTTGGATATAGAATCCTAGGTTGATAATTTTTTTCTTTCAGTACTTTAAAGATGTTGTTCCACTAAATTCCTTTTGCTGAATTCAGTAATGGGAAATTTGCTGTCCTATTTATTTTTGTTCTGTGGTTGCTTCTAAGATTTATTGTTGGTTAGTGAGAAATTTTAGTATCATATACCTTGGTATTGTTTTCTTCACATTTCTTGCATCTGGAATTTGAGCTACTTGATAGAATCTGTTTTCATCAAATTTGGAAATTTTTAAGTTATTATTTCTTCAAATATTTTTTCCTGTTCTTCCTCTGTTTTTTCCTTCTAGGATTACAAGTATATCAAGATTCTTTTAAGTTACCCAACATCTCATTTATATTCTTTCTTTTCAGAATTCCATTTTTCCCACTGTGTTTCATTTTAGATCAATTCTACTGTTCTATCTTTAAGTTCACTAACCTTTTCTTCCGCAATATCTAATCTGTTAATCCTTTCCGGTGTATTTTTCATCCCACGTCTTGTAGTTTTCATCTCTTAGTATTTGAGCTCTTTTTATATTTTCCAGGTCTCTACTTCTGAGCATATGGCACATAATTATAGTAACTGTTTTAATGCTGTTTGCTAATTCTAACATCTGTGTGAATTGTTTCAGTTTCAATTGATTTTTCTCCTCATTATGGGTATGTGTACAGACTTTAAATTTTTTGCCACAGAACACCAACTTGCCCTCCAAAAATGTTTCATTTATCCTATCACTACCAATAGATGACAATGTCTATTTCCCTCTCTATCCTGCCACCACTAGATTTTGTCAGTCCTTTAATTTTGCCAATAGCACAGGCTAAAGCTATTTGCTGCTATAACAGATTTTTACTGAGCACTGACTACAACCTGGTGATGGCCGGTGGAATTTCTGTGATGTTCAAGCAGCCACGGTAGCTGCCATCATGGTACTTATAACTTTGTGGTGTTGACCATGTTTTTATTTGTATTTTCACTGATTATCAGTGACACTGAGCATCTTCTCCCAAGTTTATTGGTCACTTATATTTCTCCTTTGGTATACTGCTACTAATGTTCACTGGATTGTTTGGATTTTTTATTCCTTTGTAAGAGTTATGTATTTACTAAGGATAGATACCCGCTTTCACCTTTCTAAAGATTTATTTGAGAAAGTGTGTGCACAAGGGAAGCGAGAAACAGAGGGAAAGAGACTCTCCTCAAGGAGACTCCCCACTAGGTTTTGAGCCCTAGGTGGGGCTTGATCCCACAACCCATGAAAACATGACCTCAGCTTAAATCAAGAGTCAGATGCTTAACTGACTGAGCCACCCGGGCACCCCCACTTTCATCTTTTGATACAAAGACATTCCCTTTAAAATAAACTAAGAGTTGTACATAATTTCTTTGAAGGAACTATTTGCATGTTACTGGAATACTTTTTTTCTACATTAAAAATAAATAGGAATTGATTCTGATTTAAAAACAATGCCCTTAAGGGCAAATATTTTTGAATACAAAAATACAAAATACATATACGAATACTTAAGGTATACATAAATATATAAATACTTCCATATGTATCTGACATCAACATATAAATGATTTACATTCTTTTTAGAAATAATTATGCAGATTCCAAATGCCATTTTACTCTCTTAATAATGAAATGGAAAGTCAGAGATGGAACGTTTCTAGATTAAATATTCCCAGCTGATGAAATATTTCTGGCAAAGCCATGCCATCTGTATTGGTAATGCCCTATGTGCAAGATTGTTAATTTGTAATTGTCTAAGATCTATTCAAAGAAAATGTCAAAATTCCCATTATAGCATGTTTGCTTACCCACTGAACAGCAGCAAGAGTTCTCATGCACACACACAAGAGTAGCGAGGCACACACTACCTCCTTATCCGGCTGCGCAGGAAGCAGGTAAATGCTTCCTGGGAGTATCAGGAAGAATGCCCAGAGACACAGTTTCTAGGAAGTGCCCATTGTCTTTTTAGCCTTTGTGGGCAACAAGTGGCAGGGGATACTGGAGCCTGACAAGTTGTCAACTTTATGGCCAGGGACAGGACTTGTCCACATATCACAGGGCTAAGAGGTTAGCTCTCCGAATATGATGGGGGAATGTATGCCACCAGTTATGCTGTGAATTCCTATACTGAGCAGTTTTAATAATGGTGGTGATGACAACAGATAGCAGAACCCTACGAGGCCCAAGCCATCAGTTTGTCCATTGGGCCTGGCCCCTCTGACTGACCTGTCTGATGTAGGTGGTCTCTGGCCACTTCAAACAAGCGCAGGTGCATGTTGGTGATGGGATTGAAGGAGCCACAGGCCAGAAGCACCACTGGGATTCGGCTCTTCATCTTCTCAGGCACATCCGCACCCGCGGCAGTGGCCACCCTGCCTTCATGGGGACAAAAACTGATGTTAGAGAGCTGGCACCAGACAACTGTCCAGATCAGCATCCCTAAAGCATACAGAGGCTATTACTTCTCATTTATAAGGTGACTGAGGGGGCAGTAATAACAGTAACAACATTTACGGAGGCTTTACCGTGGGCCAGGACCTGTGCTCAACACTATGTCACTTAGTGTTGTCACCCCCTTATCTCCGCAAATCCTTTCCACAATCCTGAGCGGTCACCTATCCAGCTCAGGGACCTCAGAAGCTACACAACTGGAATGCAGACAGCCTGATGCAGAGACCATGTTCTTCTTATAAGCTCTATAACCTCCCTAGGCTCTGATAGGTTACCTTAAAATCAAAAGGAGGTATGTAAGACCCCCATATGTCATCTCTGATAGTCCAAGTGAAATTCACTATGTCCCAGAGTAGACTGGTACTTTAAAAAAAAAAAAAAGAAAAAAAAAACCAACTTATTTAAAAATACTTTCAGATTTGCAAGTAGAGTTGCAAAATTTGAGCCAAGAATTACTATATATCCTTTACCCAGATTCCCCAAATGCTAACATCTTACCACATTTGGTTTATCACTCATTCTCTCTCTCTACACAATACACACACACACACACACACACACACACACACACACACACATTTTTACCTGTAATTTTTTTTTCAGGTGTTTAAGGGTAAGTTGTAGACATAATACTTCTTTATCCTTAAGTACTTCAGTATGTGTTTTCTAAGAACAAAGGCATTTTCTTATATAACTACAGAGCAATGATTAAAATCAGGAAATTAAGATTGTTACAGAATGAGTATCTAACCTACAGATCTTTTCTGATTTTACCTATTGTCCTTTATCTAGGGCGGAAGCATTTTGAGGGTACCGTCCACCTTCCAGTCTCCACCACCTGGGGATTTCAGGGCCAGGGTTAGGTTAAAGGAAAGGAATAAACAGCCTGGGCTCTAGGACATGCTGGCAGACATGGCTCTCCTGTCTCTGAGATGCTCCCTCCTGGAGCGGTGAGCTCTACTGGAGTTAGGCTATGTTATGGGGGACAAATCACAGTCCCTCTCTGAGCTGCAGTTTCCTCAGATGCAAAATGGGGATATGATATCCTCTTACAGGGTTGTTGTGAGGATAAATGAGCTATGTATGAGAAGTTACCGTGGCTGTGGCGATGATCATGCCAATAATGAAATGGGTGCTGCAGCTGCTGCCCATGCCAAAGAGGAGAGAGGAGGTGGCTCCCAGTGAGCCTCACCCCCTAGTACTCACCTGCAGTCCCTCCCCTTGAGTGTGGGCTGGGCCTAATAACTTGCTTCTACTAAATAGAATACAGCAAAAGAGTGGGATTTCGCTCCACAGAGGTTACAAAAAGTCTCTGGCTTCCCTTTTGCTTTCTTGTTTGCTCATTCTGATGAAGCCGGCTGTCCTGTTGTGAGATGCCTCATGGGGAGACCCGTGGGACAAAGAACTGAAAGGGGACCTTTAGTGCCAACAGCCTGTGAGGAATGAAATTCTGCCATAGCACATTAGTGAACGTGGAAGTGGGCCATTCCCCAATCAAGTCTTTAGATGAGACCGAAGGCCTGTGAACATCTTGACTGCAGGCTTGTGAGAGACTCTAAACCAGAAGACCCACTTAAGTAATGTATAGAAATATTCCCAACTCATAGAAACTATGAGATAATAAATGTATTATTTTAACCTGCTAAATTTTGGGTTAATTTGTAAAGCAGCACGGGTAACTAATACAGTGACCTACAGGAAAAATGTATGGTGGTTCTGACTATAATTCTGCAGTGGCAGGGGTAACATGGAGAGTTCTCAGTCACTGGAACCTGGAACTCTCTTTGTACCTAAGGAAACTATTGTAATCTGGCCTTCGTTGTATGCTTCTCCAGATCCAATGCAGCTGCCTACTTTCAGACTTTTTGTCATGCAAGAAAAGACACCCTCTATCTGTTGAAGTCACTGAAGTTAGGATGCTGGGACTTCTAGTCAAATGCTGCAAAGGTAGGGACTTATGTTCAACTACTGCCTGCCTCAAACTTCAGCAACAGGGGAATACTTGTCAGTGGTTTCTTTGTGAGCTCCTCATGGCTTCCTGCTTCAAGCTTTTGTACATGTTATTTCAGTTTCCTCTAACTGGAATACCCCCCAGCATACCCCAATCTGTTAAGATTCAACTTAGGTGATCATTTGTGACTTCAATCACTATTTCTTGACTGCCTACTAGGTGCCTGTATCAGTTAGGAATGCATTTGGCTACAAGTCCCAGAAGCCTAAAACTTTAATGGCTTAAACACACAGAGGTTATTTGTTTCTTGCATGACCAGAAGTCTAAGTAGGAGCCGCCATTAGGTCACTGGCTCAACAAGGACCTGCAGTTCTCTCAGTTTTTCCCTCATGGTCACAAGATCGCTGCTGTGGCTACAGCCATCTTGAATGTGATCAAGGCAAGAAAGAGCAAAGAGCTACTCTGGTTGTAGCTCTTAATAAGAAATACAGCTTCTCGGGCACCTGGGTGGCTCAGTGGGTTAAATCCTCTGCCTTCGGCTCAGGTCATGATCCCAGAGTCCTGGGATCGAGCCCCACATCGGGCTCTCTGCTCCGCGGAGAGCCTGCTTCCCCCCCCCTCTCTCTGTCTGCCTCTGCCTACTTGTGATCACTGTCTGTCAAATAAATAAATAAAATCTTAAAAAAAAAAAAAATACAGCCTCTCCAGTAGGAAGCAGCAAAGAAAAGGGAATTGGAAATAGGATTAGCTAATGCACGGCATCTGCCATAGACTTGGGGGTACAAGGGCCATGGAGCTGGCTGCCGAGCTGGCTTTTCTGACAGCTAGCTGGGGTCAGGGGATTTATGACTTACCTTCCATAAACCATAGACCACATTCTTTTGGAAAAACCTGCTCTTGTGCCTTTCCCACCCACCAGACAATAAGCCCACTAAGAACAGGAGTGGTGTTTCCTTCATCTCTGGCTCCCACCTTCAAGCACAGCACCTGGCCCCGAGGAGGGCTCAGTGAAGATTGCAAAGGGTGGTGGCTAGCTGTAGAGGGAAACTGGGTCCTGGCAGGGGGAAGGCCTAATGTACTTCCTAAGGTAGAGACGCTGTTCTGGATGTATTCTGAGGTGCAGCATACATAAAAAGAACTTCCAACCTAAGTGGGCTACAGTTTCTTCAATCTTCCTTGAAGGCAGCAGTAACACCCCCAACTGCAGCAGAAGAAAGCAGTCCGCAAGCTACTGCTGCTAGCTTTTTCCTGGGGAAGGTGGGTGGTTTAATGAGATATTATTTGCAGAGTGTGCTTAGCTATTCACAAAAGCAGCCTTGGGATGACTGTATCTGGAGAGGCTGGCTGATGTACAAACTATGATGAAGCCTTTCAAAATTCTATTTCATTTTGACAAAATATAATTTTTTAGAGCTGCTAAAACACGTAACGGCAGCATCTCAGGTAACCTGGGGTTTTGATTGTTTTTTTTCCAAAAGTTCCCAGAAACTATAAATTAGATCATTTGTTTGAATGGTGGCATCAACAGCAATGGAGTGTGATGTTGGGGAGAAGTATAAATGACATTTAATGTGTCTGTCTTGTCTTTTCTTTCCTTGCCAGCAGTGCACTGAGCCACAATGCTCCAGAATGACTGAGCCTTTGGGGCCACGGCTGGGGTGGGAAGAGGCATTGAGTGTGGATTCCCAGGCTCAGGAACAAGGTTGGTGCTCCTGCCTCACTTGTGTACTCTAACCTACGTCAACTAAACCTGCTCCCACGCCCAAACCCAACGAAACACAATGACAGCCTTAGAACAGACTCACTCCAGGGGCCACCAGGAGAATAAACCAGGTTCCGATTTGCATGCAGGTCTCCTCAGACTCGAGGGCAGATGTAGGCCATAAAGTGAGTCACCTGCCCTGCCATCGAGTAGTATCTAGTGAGACGAAGCAAGGGCGGGACGATGTGGGCAATCGATGTTTCTCATCAAGAAGCATTTTTTTAAAAATTATTTTTGAGAGAGAGCAAGCACAAGTGGGGGGAGGGGCAGAAGGAGAGGGAGGCTCCCCCGCTGAGCAGGGAGCCCGATGTGGGGCTCCGTCCCAGGACCCTGAGATCACAGGCCTGAGCTGAAGGCAGACGCCTAACCAACTGAGCCACTCAGGCGCCCTCATCAATAAGCAGAGTGAGCAGTAATTGCTGCTGAAGAACTTAAGCTGAGAAGGAGGCATGCGTGACCTTCTTGGAATTTCTCATTGAAACGGAGAGACAGGTGAACAGCTTCCACCTGGGGCCACAGACTCCTCTCCAGATATAGACCACCTCTGGCTTCACAGCCACCGCAACAGCATGTCACCCCACTCTTCGAAGGCAGCACACTGTTTCCCTTCTCCCTACTTCTGCAGATGCTGTTCTGGCTACCTCAAACACCCTCCTCCTCATCCCTGCCTTCAAGCTGTTCTCCTTGGAGTGTTTACCCAACCCCCTGGCCCCTCACCAGGCTATACAGCCCCAGGACCCGCTTTATCACTTTCTACTTCCAGCTGCCACAGAGCTGCCATTGCTTCGTCCCCATCATGCTCTCCCCCAAGCAGAAGGTGAACTCCTATGGGGCGGCTTCTCATTCACGTGGGTCCCCTCGCCTCCTGCACTGTGCCTAGCACACAGGTGCTCAGGAAATGTGGAGAACGAATGAGAGAATGAGGGATGGTCTCCAACTGAGCATCGTCCTTTGCAAGCGGCTACCTCACTTCTTTCTGTCCCAAACAGTCCTGAACTGGGCCTGCCGCAGATATAAACTGACCTTTCTGGCTTCCAAGAGGCACTTCAGACCCCAAGACCCCACTCCACTTCAGACTGAAATCCAATAAGACATTCCTGCCCTGGTGCACCATGGTCC